CCTTTTTCATTTCCTCGATTTCCCCACATGTCCCTCCCCCGATCGGTAGGAATTAGGAAGATGTGTCTGTGCTCTCACATGCGGCACGAAACCCCTGGACCCCACCCCAGCCAGCGGTTCCCAAGCCGGGTCAGCTTTTGGGGATGGCGCACGCGCACAAGTTCCCAGGCCCGGCCACCAGGCCCGGAGAACCGTGAGAGCTGGTTCTCAGGCCCCCGTCTCTGGTTCGCCTCCTGGCCCCTGCCAGCCCAGGTGGGCTTCCAGCTCCCCTTGCCAGCCTCTCTCAGGTTTGGAAACTAAGTCCTGAGCCCTATGAAGAAGCGTCTCTTCCCCCTCCCGGGACTCCTCTGGGGAGGGCTTTGCCCTCTTGCCCTGACACCTCCGACTCACCCTACCACTCGGCAACCTGGGTGACTTTTACAAGATTTACATCTCACAGTGGCTTCCGGGGCGCTGAGAATAAAAGCCAGTTTACTCCCTGAACTCTGGCCTGCTGGCCCTCTGCAGCTGGAGCAGGCCAGTTCTTCCTCGCCTCAGGGCCTTTGCACTTGCTGTGCTTCCAACCTGGAGCACCCTTCCTACCCCCAGCCCGCCTGGCTGGCTTCTGTTTACCCGACAGCTCCTGGCTTCATGCATCTCTCCCGTCGCAACCCCTCCTATTATTCATGGTTCTCCATCACATGACCTGTTTCCTTCACCCCACTCACCACCAACTGTAAATAGTTTTTCTTATTACCCTAAACAGATTTTTATCGTCTGTCCCTACTCACCCGCTACATCGTAAACCTCACAAGAGCAGGTCTGATTATGTCTTGTTCACTATTTTATTTCCACCACCGTCCCTGACACAGAGCAATTGCTCAGTTCCCTGTGATGAAGGGATGCTTCAAATGCTGCGGGCAGTTCAGAGGTCTGACCTGCTCCTCCTGATTCATCTAGCGCCACAGCTTCCCCCCCAACTCATCCACCCCACGAATATTTACAAATCACTCAGAGAGTGTATGTGTGTGTGTGTGTTGGGGGGGAGTGGCGGTGCCAGGCTGGGGACTGGGGAGACAGTGGGGAAGACATCAGACCCAGTTCTTGTCCTCACGGGACTTCCCGTCTAGTCGGGGAGGCAGACTACGAACACCTAGTGTCAGGGCAGTAAGCATACAAAGGGGACATATACGCGGGTATCTGATCAGTGTGGGCAGTTAGGATGGGCTTCCTGGAGGAGGCGCCATTTAAGCTGAGCCTGGAAGGATGAGTAGGGCCTTGGCAAAAAAAAAAAGAAAAGAAAAGAAAAGAAAAGGTGGCAAAGTGTGGGAGAGGCAGGAGCCTAGATTTCCCATACAGCCAAATTACTGCCCAGTGCTCCTCATGACACCCTGAGTGGATGGAATGGGACAAGGGACTGCAGAGGGCTTTGGGAAATGGAAGGCACAGCGTGTGTGTGTGTGTGTGTGTGTGTGTGTGAGGGCAGGTGTGGACGACAGCCGGTGTGCAGGCGGCCAGCTGGCGGGACTGTCGCCCCTATCATTCCTCCCCACTTAGGAGGCCCCTGAGAAGCAGACCCTGAGAGCAGGGTTCTGAGTGAGTGGTGTATGTGGGGGGCGTCCGGGGAGCTGGAAGGGGAGGCTGCCGATGCAGGGGCGTCGCGCAGGTTATTCTCGGTGGAACCTGTCCTGGCACATTTATTTACGTCTTGCTTTCCTAGATTACTGCCTGTGTCCCCAGGAGAGTACAGAGCCTGCTTTCCTTGTACCTCTGGATCACGGCACCCTGCATTGCACCAGGGTCCTCGAGGTGCTCAATTAAATACCCTTTGAAGGAATAAATTATTGCCAATTTCAAACTGGGAGTTTTGGGTTCTGAGGCTCAAACTAGAAAGGCCATGGACAGATGGGGCCTCTGGGGTGCTGGGAGGGGCAGTGACCTGCCCAAGGTGTGCCACACTTGCGCCCTCCCCTGCAGGGGCAGAAGCCCTGCCACCCCACCGGACCCCCATCCCTCCCGGAGGCCCACCAGTGGGGGGAAAAGCTCTGGGAGTCCCCAGGGCTCCTCTCCGCCGCCCAGGAACCGCTCCCTGCCAGGGCCTGGCCATCTCCGAGGCCTCCCCTCTCCCCCCTTTCCCCAGCAGAAGAGGAAGTGGCTGAGACGGCTGTGGAGCCCGGACTCTCTCTAGTTGATATGCATTAATTTGTAAATATCTTCATTTATATGTAAATGTGGAGTCCCCAGCCCTGCCGCCAGCCCTAATGGGGCCCTGCAGCCTCAGAAGCAGCCTCTTCCAGCAAGGCTGCCCCTGGGGGGGTTGGTGTGATCGGATTAGATAGACTCCGGGAAGGTCTGCTCCCCTCTTCCCTTCTGCCCAGGCCTCCTCCCGGTGCGCCCCCCCCTCCCCATGCTCCCTGCACTGAGAGACCGGCACTCGAACCCAGGCTCAGGAAGAAGAGCACCGGCCGCAAGTCAGCACTGCTGTGTGACCGTGGGCGAGTCTCCTCCCCTCTCTGGGTCTCACATGGATGAGGTGGGTCAGGTCTGACCAACTCCATGTCGTTCCAGCTGGGGACCCTGGGGCAGCAAGCCTCTTGACCCTGCTGGAGTCTGATCTTATCCGAAAAACCAGGACTGTAGGAAATAATAATAATAATACCTGCTGTGTTCACGAGGCTGTTTGTGACGATGCAAAGGATGTGTGTAAGGAGAAAGAGGGTGAAAAAGAAGGCTACGAGATTCAGAAGAAGGTGATGTGTGTTTTTTTACCGTGAGGGAGGAGGGATTTTTCTGGGTAATAACAGCAAACGCACTGCTCAGGGACTGTGGTGGCACTTTACCTGAATTAACTCATTAGATCCTCAGTGTCTGCACTTAACTTACTGTTGTCACCCCCCTCCCCCCGCAGGTCGGAAGCACTGGCACAGTCGCCACCCAAGATTACACTAAAGCCAGGGGGTGAAGGAGCCAGGGCTTGCCCTCGGGCCATCGGACATAATCTCACTTAAATCCCACAGTGTATGCAGCTGGTCATATTAAGTAAGCTTGCTGAGGAAACGACACAGAGAGGGTAAGGCCCTTGTCCAAGGTCACTCAGCAGGAAGCGGCTGAGCTGGGATCTGAACCAGGTCTTTAGGCACCAGGGCTGTGTCCTGGATGCTCCAGCGAGCACAGGAGGGGGGCTAGGGGTGTTCTGGTGGCCTCCGGGTTTCCTTCCTGGTTTAGGAACCAGAGCCAAGGAGTCACCCCAGAGACCATACCTGCGGCAGGGGCGGGGCACTGGAAATGATGGGGAGGGCTGGGGCCTGGGGAGCGGGAGCTTCTAAGAGACCGTGGTCACCATGCAGGGGCTGGCTGCAGGGCTCGGCTTCTGGAAGCTTGCGGGTGATTTGAATGCTCACTTGATATAGAATCACCTGTGGTTCCCAGAATAGTTACTTTCATCTCCAAAATGAGTTTTTGCCTCCGTTTTCCTCTTGATTGCCACCGGCTGGTCCTAGGTGTGCTTTACTATTTTAAGGCGCCCAAATCCTCTTTGGAAGTGGTGCAGGAGAAATCATAAATATACGCATGAAGGCACATCAGCGCCCCTCGGAGCCCCTTTGCATCACGGTCTCACCAGATTCCCCCAGCAAGTGGCGGCGTCTGACTCCTGGCACAGGGCCCAGAGAGGAAGGGGACCCAGAAAGGTCCTCCGGGGGAGCACACCCACCTCCCGGTCTTACAGAAGAGGCCAGGGAAGGGCCATCTGCCAGAGTGCCTGTGCCAGCTGGATGTGCCCTTTGAAATCTTCTTGTCCCATTTTCTCATTTTACTTATGGGGAAAGTGAGGCCCAAAAGGCCAAGGAGCAAACCCAGGCTCATCCAGTCGATTTGCAAATTTCGCTGAGCACCTGCTGTGCGCCAGGCATTGTGCTGAGAGCTGGGGGTACTGGGCGAGGGGGAGCACCTGCGTGGTCTTCTGATGCTCGAGGTCACGGAAAGAAGAACCGACGCGTGTGCAGAGAGTGGGACCTTATCCTCCTGAAGGTCAGGCACAAGGCACTACGGGGAACGTGACCGGCACCCCACGAAGCACAGTGCACCCCGCTGGGTCTGCTGCAGTGTCTCCCCGCGTGCCCAGCATAGCCCGTCATCCTCCAGCTTCGGGGCAGACTGGACTTTCTCCACCGGGCAGAGCAGTTGGCTGTGTAGAGTGAAGGAGCATGCACGTGCGTGTGCGTGTGCATGTGTGTGTGCGCGTGTGTATGTGTGTGCGTGTGTGCATGTCCACGTGCGCAAAGCTGTGCACGTTTGGCACCTGTGTGAAGCTAACCTTCGTTAACGTGGTGAGGTCGCCCTCTTGTGGGGGGGTGGGTACTGGAGGGGTGGCAGCCATAGGCTTTGGGGGAGACCAGTTCTGCTGGAGTGAGGGGTATCTAAAGAAAGCATCCACAGAAGAACCTGAGTTGGGTTCTGAAGGCAGATGAGGAGTTTCCCAGGTGACCAAAGAAGAGACAGGCTCCCTGGAAAGAGGGTCCAGTGAGTGTAAAGGTCAGAGGAATAAAATGGGATTGGGATTGGGATTGGATTTAGGGTCCATTTTCCCTGCCTCGTTTGGGGCCCTATGGCCTTGGAGCCCACGGAGGGTGTGTCACCTGGGCTTCTGAGCCAGGCAGAGCTGGTTCACACTCCAGCTCTGGCGTTCCTCGCTGTGTGACTTTGGGCACATCGCTCACCCTCTCTGGACCTCAGTGTCCTCACTTGGAAAGAGGGTTTGGAAAACCCACCTTGCAGGGCTGCTGAAGGAGCTGGCTGGGGAGGCCAGTGTCAGGGGTCTGCTCCATGCGGCAGAGCTTGGACTTGGCCCCTTCTCGCTTCCTCCCTCCAGGAATGGGCCCCGCTTCTGAGCAGAGTCCTCAGCTCCGCCTTCCAAGCTCACCAGAGAGGGTGACCCTGAGATCCTCTCCCCCAGAACACTGTGGGATGGATGGAAAGGGCTGGAGAGGTGGCCTCCCGGTCCCCGCCCCGCCGCCCCTCACCTCACGGTGGACTGGTATACCAGGTCCTCTCTCTTGCGGTAGTTTTCCATGTGTGAGTAGTTGGTGGAGAACATGGCATCGAAGGTAAAGATCTTCTGCTTGATGGTGCCGCCGTCCATCACCTGCAACAGAGCAGAAGCAGCCGCAGGTGAGCGCGGGCTGGTGTCGGCCGCGCCTTTCCTCCAGGCGGAGGGCGGGCCCCCGGACCCGGGGAGATGAAAGGCCAGGACGCCCACTGCCCCGCTGCCCCTGGAGACGCCTCTGGTGGGTGTCAAGCTGTCACTGGAACCCTCCCAGGGCATCCCCATTTTATTGATGTGCAGACCGAGGCTCTGCAGTGAAGTGGCTTCCTGAGGTCCCACAGCTAAGGAGGAGCAGAGCCGGCTCTTCTCTCTGTCTCTCTCCATTGCACCAGGGGCTCCCACTTCTGCGGTCCCCCCGGTCAGCCTTGCAGAAAGGACAAGTTAAGCTCCGGGAGCTGCACACAGAGCCAGAGAGTGTGAATGTGTTTTGCAGAATCAGCCAAAGCCGCCGCTGCCTGAGAAGAGACAGAGCAAGGGAGCAGGCTGGACAGAAAGAGAAGACGGGGACTGGGGGCCAGGGGCGGCCACTGAAGCAAAGATCTCATGGCGAGACAAGCAAGCTACATTACAATAATTTCTGATGAATCCTGCAAGGGGTGGGCCCAGGATGACAGGGGAGCACAGAGGAGGGGCAGCCCCAAGCTGGGATAGGGTAGCCATAGGGGCCTTCTTGGAGCAAGAGATACTTAAGTTGTCTTCTAAAGGGAGAGTAGAAAACAGCCTGGGAAATGGTGGGAGTGCTTCCAGGCGGAGGGGACAGCAGGAGCAAAGGCCCTGGGGCGGGAAAGGACAGTGAACGTGGACTGTTCAGGGTGCCTGGGCAGCAAGGTGGTGGAGCGAGAGGCACCGGGGCGGGACCCGTGTGCCCGATCGATCGGGGAGGCGAAGGAGCCCAGCACCCGGGAAGGCAGCGGGCTGCAGGGTGTCGGGCTCTCCCTCTGGCTTTAGTTTCGGGTGAGGACTGACTGAAGGGGCACGTCTGGAGCCAGCGGACTTGGGGGAAGGCTGAGGAGAACCCAGTCTACTGACATGGGGGGTGGGGAGAAGGGGGCCCTGTGGCGGACTCACTCTCCCCTGGCTGCCACTGGGACAGGCCAGGAGGTCCCCATTTCACCTATGAACACGAAGGCTCAGGGAAGTCAGGGGACCCGGGAGGTGATAATAAAGCCGGAGCTGGAAGACAAAGCTGCTCAGGTGCCCAGCTGTTCACAGCTGATGAAAAGCGGGACCCAAGTGTCCCGGGCTCCCAGCTGCCGCCACCCGCCTGCACCCCCACTGCCCGCATCCCCAGGTCTGCTCTGCCTCCTGCTAATGAAAGTGTTACTCCACAAAGCAGCAAGGTATGTGTTGTCACTGTTTCAATTATTTATCTGTTTACTCGGCTGCAGTTTTCCGCTTGTCTCAGCAACTCTATTATAGACTGAAAGCCTGCAGCCTCTCGCCACTCAGCTGGGCTCCGGGCTAACAGCCTGCGACGGAGGCCTCATGCCTGGGCCTGGAGAAGTGGAATTAACTCCATGCGGCTCTGCTGTGGAGGCAGGAGAGGGGGCTGGCAGGGCGGTGCCAGGGATGGGCTTTCCCCAAGGGGCTGGGGTGGGGGGACACTGAAAGCCGTTCCCCCCACCCGCCTTTGCTGGGCACTGAGCTCGGATCTGTTGCCCTCCAGGGAGGACTGGCCTGGGTGCAGCCGGGCTCCTCTGGGCACATCTGGACCCAAGGTGACGGGCCACATCTGTCCGGCCTAGGTGTGTTGCTCCTGGTTTAGGCAGATGCAACGCAATCCAGCCAGCATTTATTGAGCACCAGCTGTGTTCCGGGCTCGGGCCACACTGGTGTGCGGCACCCTCCCTAGAATGCAAGGTTAGACTGACGGCACCTTCACAAGCTCCGGGGCCCTAAGGGGGATCAGCGGTGGGACTTCCGTTGAAGTTTCTTTTTAGCCCTCGCTAAGCTCACAGCACTGTCTCTTCCTCACACACCCCACTTGTGTTCCCTTTGGGGACTTTCTTGACTGCACGCATGTGGTCGGGAAGCAGGGCACCACGTCCTCTCACCCTCTTCTGCATCCTGGGGGCCAGCTGCCCACGCAGGGGACAGGAGGAGAGGAAGGAAGGGGGAGGCAAATGTGCTTAAACCAGGGCCCTCAACTGGGGGATGCTTGGCAACGTCTGGTTTCGATCGTCACAACTGGAGAGGGGAGGAACTGGCATCTAGCAGTGGAGGCCAGGGGTGCTACAACCAGTCTATGATGTACAGAACAGCCCCCCGAAGGATTACCTGGCCCCAAACGTCAGCAGTGCGAGGCAAGAGACCCGCTCTAAGCCCAGCGCTTTGTGCAGACCCACAATGCCCCTGAAAGTGAGGACAATAGACAACAATCTTCCCATTTTGCAGCTGAAGAAACTGAGGCCCACATTGGGCTCGGCAAAGCCAGGGCCCCCAGACCGAGTTCACATCCCACCCAGTAGGCTGAGAAGGGCTGTGAATGAACTGACTCACCGCCGATGAGGCCCTCCTGATGGTGGGAGGCGTCCTGACCAGCTGACCCACTCTCCTAAAATTCGGCAGCCCTTATCGTCTCAAGCCCAAATTTCACTCCTTTGTATTTTTATTATTATTATACAAAGGAGAAAAAAAATCTGTCGGTAAAACTGTCTGCTCGAATTTATTCTCTGGACTGAGGGTTTTATTACAAGGAAAATACACCCACACGCCACACGCACACACACATGCCCACACACCCCAGACAGAGCACTGTAGAATTATCTGAGTCATAAATCCTGCTTCAGGCCGAGGGACAGGGGGGTTTCAAGGACACGCCTAGTTTTCCTTTGGTTTATTTACATCTTTTTCTCTGGGGCCGTGTCTGGGCTTCACTGTCAGCCCGAAGAGTAAATAACCGCTTCTGTTAACAGGTCTTGGGAGTGGAGACAAGCATTTCACTCCATCCCAGCTGTGACATCCACCATCCCAGTTCTCTGTGGTGGCTCTCGGACCTCCCTCTGCCTCAGAGAAGGAACAGCAAAGGGACAGCCTCGGAGTTCACTCTGGGTGGGTCCAGGCCAGGGGGCGAGGGGCTATTGCAGGGAGGTTATTCTGCAGGTCCTAGAGCCCCTCGACCAGACAGAAGCTGGGCAGGGGTGGGGGCTATCATAGGCCGCGGCAGAGGGTGTAGTGGTAGGCTGAGGAAATGCTGGAAGACACCTTCCCTTTAATTCTGGAAACACTTCCCAGGCCTAGGAGATGTTGGCACAGTTCTAGGCCCCACAAGAGAGAAAGAGTTTCAGACATGGTCTTAGGCCACCATGAGCCCAAGCTGGCACAGCCTACATGGCCCACAGTGAACTGAGAGACCAGAGTCAGGAGGACTGTGACTGCAGCAACAGGTATCTGCAAGTGTTATCTGATGCCCTTGGAAAAGTTGGGAATTCTTTTGGAGGGAGGAGAGATCAGAGAAGGCTTCCTGGAGGAGGAGGCTTTTGGAGCAAGAAGCAAGACTGATTTCCTCCACCCCCAGTAACAAAACTTTTTATTTCTGTTACTAACTTTGTGCTCTTGAGCAAGTCATTTCACCTCTCCGAGTCTCAGTTTCCTCATCAGTAACATGGGGATATTGGGACCTACCTCTTTGTGAGGATTAAATGAGATGAGAGCAGACAGCTATTTTTACCCATGCCACCTCTTTTTCTGTGTCCCTGCCCACCCTCCAGGGCTGGGGCTCCAGGGCAGAATACCTTTTACTGAAAAGCCAGAGGATGCAGAACATCAGCAAATGAAAGAAGGGGGCCCATACCTGGGAGGGACGCAGGTGGAAGGGCCTGAAGCCAGTGTGGGCAACGGAGGACTGGAAGGCAGGGAGTGGGTGGAGGGAGAGTGGAGGCCCAGGAGCCTGCTAGTAGTCATTGTATCAGCTGAGAGGGGAAGCTGGAGGATGCTCTGAGCAAGTTCCTGGAGGCAGTTTGATCCCAGGGCCTCTGAGACACCCCTCTCCAGTGCCATAGAGGGGCATGACCACGAGGTCAGGGTAGATGAAGGAGGGCAAGCTGGTGGGGCAGTCCCCAAAAGACAAGGCCCCGGGATGTATGGGTCTTCTCTCCCCCAGAGGAAGATATACTAATGTGTTCATTCAGTCAAAAGATTTCTGTTGAATCAAGCAGACTCTTGAATGTGAGCTGCTCCTAGAACATAAGAGTCACGAGGGCAGGGTCTTCACCTGTCCCCAGAGTTGGCACATGATACTCACTCAATAAATATCTGTTGAACGAACCAATGCATGAATAAGTTGAGTCCTGACCACGTGCCAGGCATCGGGGGTACCATGAAGAACAGAAAAAGCATTCCTTCTGCTCCGCAGGACAGACTTGCCCAGGACACCTGCTCCCCTGCGCCCCGGCCAGGCTAGGCCTTCCTGGTAGGAGCAGCCTGGCCCAGCCGGGACGGTGGCCTAGGCCGTCCACGCAGCGATGCTCCCAGAGGAGCCAGCCTGAACCTGAGCTGCTCTTTGTCAGCGGTCCCTGCATGAATGCCATCCGCTAATGAAAGCATCCTAATCATGCAAAGCGCACGCCTGGACCAGAAGAGGCCGTGCACATGGTTATGCTCGTGTACACGGGCCTGACGGTGTGCACAGGCCCTCCCTCTGTTATGTCATTTGGATTCTCCAGACTGCGAGCTCCAGGAGCTGTGTCTCCCAGCGCCTAGCCCAGTGCCTGACACGGTGCCGAAAGAAGAGTCAGTGAATAGATGAAGTGTCCTGAGAGGTGGGTCATCACCCCCATTTTGCAGATAACCAAGAACAAAGAGAGGCAGGTGAACGGCCCAAGGTCACGTGGGCAGTACATGGTGCGGCCGACCCCTCAGCATGGATTAGTTAGAAAGAGAGGAGTAGGGGCCCATTCTGAGGGTGCAGATGTGGGGAAAGTGCAGCAGCTTTGGGGTCACACAGCCTTCGATTCAAGTGCCAGCTCTGCCACGTTTGGTTTAAAGCTGTGTGACCTTGGAGAGGTCTCGGTGCCTCAGTTTCCTCCTCTGCAAAATGGGAACCGTGCCACCTACCTGTAAGGTGCCTGCGTGAGAATTCAGCATAGACCCCACACTCGGAGAGCCTAGTGCGCTGCCTGGCACCCAGTCATGATAACGGCGATGGAAATAAAATAGCGAGCATATGCCGCGCGCCTACTATGGGCCAGGCGCTCGGGGATTGTTTGCAAACACGAGCTCATGTAATTTAAGGGGAAACGGCGATGCATATGAGCTATTCCAGTTGTCCTCCCTTATCTGCAGTTTTGTTTTCCATGGTTTCAGTTACCGATGGGCAACCGCGGTCGGAAAATATTAAATGGGAAATTCCAGAAATAAACAATTCATATGTTTCAAATTACACGGATGTTCTGAGCAGTGTGATGAAAGCTCTCACCGTCCTGCTCTGTCCCAGCTGGGCTGTGAATCACCCCTTTGTCCAGCATCTCCCCATTATGCAGAGAATATAATAAGGTATTTTGAGAGAGAGAGAACATTCACATAACTTATTTCAGTATATTATTGTAATTGTTCTATTTTACTATTTGTTGTTCTCATTAGTCTCTTACTGTGCCTAATAGATAAATTAAACTTTATCATGGGTGTGTATGCACAGAATAAAACAGTATGCATGGGGTTCAGTACTTGCCATGGTTTCAGGCGCCCACCAGGGGTCTTGGATAAGGGGGGACTACTGTATTATTTTTATTTAAGTCCAAAGTAGGAAGGCTGGTTTAGGTGGGCAGACTCTGATGAAGGCAGCAGGTACATAGTAGGTGCTCAAGAATGGGTGGCGTTTCTCCCCCCTCCCCCGTGAGCATCTCAGCCATGCAGCCAGAACGATCCACTACAATGTGTGGAAGGGGCTCAGAAGGTGGAGGCCTGGGTCCTAAGTCCCACAGATTGTCTCTGCACTGCTCCCCTCTCTGGGCCTCAGTTTCCCTAAATGCTCAATGAGGAGATTTGGGGCAGAGTGACCTCTGAGGGCCATGTCTACCCTCAATGTCCACAGTGTTCTCATTCTAGAACAACCAGCCCTTAGAAGCCGCAGCAACTCACCCTCTGGCCTGGCCCACGAGGGCTCAACTAGCTGTCCCACGCCCCTGTCGGACCCCATCCCAGAGCCCTGGCTGCCCCCACCAGCAGATGTGGCTTCAGCCAGGCGAGGTTGATTTTCAAGTAGTGCCACCAAAGCGTGGCGAAGTTGAGCCAGCAGCGCCAGAGCCCGCCAGCCCGCCGGGGTGGTTATTTGAAAAACAAATAAGTCTCCAACTCCAGCCTCCCCAACAACATCCCTGGGTGCCATCATCCAGGAGAGGTAAAAAAAAAAAAATAAGAGGGGGAGAAAATCACCTCTCCCACCCCCCAAGCTCCTTCTCTTTGTGTTCCACAAAACCAATTACAGATTGGAAATAGCTGTAATAAACTTGATATCCCACTTAGGGGCCAATTCCGCGGCGGCTGGAAAGTGTAATAGTGGCAGAGAGCGAAAGTGCCGGTGTCTCTTGCTGGAGCTGTTTAAATTGCCTGCCTACATTACCCCAAGTCCTCTCCAGCGGGGAAGGGATCCGCCGCCCCGCAAATGGAGCCGCTGAGGCCTGTGGCTGGGCAGCGAGGGGAGGGCTTGCAGGGGTGTTTTAATGAACTGATTAGACATGGGGGGGATGGCGCCCGGGCACTCGAGTCAGGCGGGCCCGGGCTCAAAGCCCAGCTCGGGCGGGTCCTATGGGGTTGCTGTTGGGGGTAAAGGGACAGTGAATTAGATAATGCAAGTGACGCAGGTTGGCTAAAAACCACAGCAAGCGTTAGGAGGCTGCATTCTGCTGTGGGCGCTGCTACTTCCTGGTCGTGGGTTTTCAGACAAGTCACCGTTTGTCTCGGTGCCTCAGTTTCCCCATCTGTAAAATGTGGTATGGTAATGAAACGGATGCCCCAGAGCTGTTAGAAATACTAAAAGGAACAAATATATGTGAAAGCATCTTGGAAAATGTGAATTTACTGTTCTAGTACTGTTGGAAAATGTGAATTTACTGCTCTAGTACTGTTG